CTCGCTTTTAGTGCCTTTGATGAATGCATAAGCAGTGCGAGGTCACCTGCCCGTCGTATCCGGAAGGAGGACGCCCTAGCCCGTGTGTTAGGGGAAAACACCTCAAATGTCTCCTGGAAAGGATCCCTTAGCCCGTGTCGAGCCAGGGTGGGAATGTTTCTGGTTACTTCCTTGCCGATGTCTGATCGGAAGGTTGTTGTATGTACACAGGAGGTTTGCGATAGGGCCATATAGGGAGTTAGACCTGGATTCTATGCATATTCTATTTATGGTGTTGGATCATTATGCAAAGTATACTTATGCGATAATGGTGAGCATAGTGGTTTTGCTTACCCCCATTGTTTGTCTTGTCCTCTTTTTCCCTCTTCCTATCTTTAGGTTGAGCATTGTTGGCGGCGGCAGCGAGAGAAGAGCAAGTGGTGGTCATTGGATCATCATGTCTTTACTTCCGCCTTATTTATTTATGTTGAATTATTATTTATGGATTATGATGCTTCCGCTTAAACGTTTTGAACATGTTGATAGGATTATGATGAAATCGCTTGAGTTTGATTTTGGAAAAACTTATTAATATTTGGTTCGATTAATTATGTTGTTAGAAATGCATGTGTAGGTTTTTGTGGTTGGTCTTAATTGTTATTTTTGTTAGTAATTAAGAAGCGCCCGTTTAAGTTCAAAGTTTTAATTTAGAATTTTGCGAAAAATTTACTCTGATTTTTATAAATAAATTTGGTAAACTCTTTCAAATAAAACGGGGCGTTACAGTATGGTATCAGAGCTAGTCTGCGTTTCTGTAGACTATCTCTAGTGTTTGGGTATAATGACCATTGACCACTCGCTTTCGTCTCGTCGCGCCAACTCGACGTATGAGTTTGTTGTTTTGTTTATATTTTTGGGAATTAGGACTATCCACCTTGTTATGTTTCGAACTATAGCGTTTGAGTGATGAACTCTAGAAATGGTATTATTGTGCTAAACTCTTCGGGTTATTCAATGTAGAATCATGGCTCGACGCAATACCCGCAACAACAGGCAACCATCTCCGTCTCCGTCCCCGCCTCCATCGCCTCGTCAGCAGGCTCCTCCTGACCTGGACAGGGATTTTCTGAGGCTTATCGTTCAGTTTCAAGGCATGCATGCGCCTACCTTCACGGGGACCAAGAGCCCCACTGCCGTGCTAGAGTGGATGAAGGAACTCGATAAGATCTTCGCCATGCTTCCTCTCACTCAGGCACATCGTGTCACTCTAGCTAGCTTTTAGATGAAGATGGATGCTTCAGATTGGTGGATTGACTACTGGGCCTTGTGGCCAGTAGCGGAGCGCAATGCTTTCACCTATGAGCGTATGAAGGATATCGTCCGAGACAAATTCCTTCCCCAGAGTTTCCGTGATCGCATGGAGCAGGAGTTTTGGCACCTCCAACAGGGGAATGCTAGCGTCGACGAGTACACGCGCAATTTCACCCGTATGAGTATCTTTTCTGGCGAAATGGTGAATTCTGATGCCAAGAGAGCCCGCAAGTATCTGAAGGGGATGAATCAGCGAATCTGCGAGCTTGTAGGGAGCCATGGAGCAATGCCTTATGCCGATACCGTTCTGCGAGCTCAGGAGGTTGAGAGTTGTCTGATTCCGATAGCTCCAGTCCCCTCCTATTATCATGCTTCTCAGACCACTCAGACTGCACCGCAGCTCATCTCTCAGCCACCTGTCATTCCTCTGTTTTCCTATCAGTATCCTGCCCCTTTCACTTCAGCTACCCCGTCCTCTAGCTCCGGTGAAAGGAAGAACGACCATCAGAACCGCAAGAGGGCAAGCGCCCTAACCATGGCCCACGCCACCCTCAGCAGCATCATCCTGTGGTGTAGAATGTCCAACCCCTCCGTCAGATTCCAGCAGTACCGCCGCCTTGTCGAGCATACGGGAGAGTCCACGAGGCCAACATGTGCCGGGCTGCCGACATGACTTGTTTCAACAGCCAGAGGAATGGCCATTTCTCTCGTGCCTGCCCAGAACCTCATAGGCCACCTCAACAGCAGCAACAGCAGCGAGCCCCAGCCCGAGTTTATGCTCATACTCAAGAGGAGACAGCCAACAATGCAGGTACAAGTCTGGCATGCTATCTTTATCGAATGTGCCTATTTATGCTTTATGTGATACTGGGGCCACACATTCCTTCATCTCTCGTCAATGCCTCTAGTCACTGGGTATCCGTAGTGTTAGTAGAGTCGATGCTCTTGAGGTTTGCCTGGCCTCGGGAAAGACGATCTCTACCGACACGATGGTAAAGTGACTTGAAATTTCGATCGGAGGCCGAACGTTGGAGGCAGATGCTTATATCATGACATGCGGGATTTCGACGTCATCCTCCGCATGGACTGGCTCACCCACTACCGTACTGACATCCGATGCTTAGAGAAGGAGGTCACGCTCCACCCAACCGAAGGAGAGTCGATCGTGTTTTACGGCGCCAAGTTGAGGACCGTGCCAAAGGTCATTCCTCCCCTGAAGGCCATGAAGGGAATAGCGAAGGGTAGTTGCCAAGGCTACCTAGTGAGCATGATCAGGGAAGGGGAAGAGAAGAAGCCATCACCTGGGGACGTATCAATTGTATGTGAGTATCCCGATGTTTTCCCCGACCAGTTGCCAGGTGGACCGCCCAACCGGCAAGTTGAATTCACCATTGACTTGCTGCCTAGAGCCGGACTCGTCTTAAAGGCCCCTTACCGAATGGCACCAAAGGAGTTGCTGGAACTCAAGAAGCAAATCCAGGAGCTGCTGAACCTTGGTTTCATCCGATCGAGTGTTTCACCCTGGGGGGCACCCGTGCTGTTTGTGAAGAAGAAGGATGGTTCGATACGTATATGCATCGATTATCGTGAGCTGAACAATTTGACAGTCAAGAAAAAGTATCCTTTGCCGAGAATCGAGGATCTCTTTGATCAGTTGAGAGGAGCAGTGTCTTCTCCAAGATTGATCTGCGGTCTGGTTATCATCAGCTGAAGATCAAAGAGTCCGATGTCTCGAAGACCGCCTTCCGAACTAGGTACGATCATTACGAGTTCGTAGTCATGCCGTTTAGGTTGAGTAATTCCCCTGCGGTGTTCATTGACTTGATGAACCGTGTTTTCCATCCGTACCTGGACCGCTTCGTCATCGTCTTCATTGACAACATCTTGGTGTATTCCCGTGACATAGAGGAGCATAAAGAGCACTTGAGGATAGTGCTAGAGACCCTTCGTCGGAAGAAGCTCTATGCGAAATTCTCGAAGTGTGAGTTTTGGCTAGATAGGGTGGATTTCTTAGGCCACATTGTCACGACCCGTGGAATCGAGGTAGACCCAGGAAAGATTGAGGCCGTCAGCAAGTGGGAGACGCCGAAGAATGCTAGTGACATCCGCAGTTTTCTGGGGCTGGGGGATATTATCGGCGTTTTGAGGGATTC